TTGACAGTAATGGCGACTCATGGGTGAGTGACTTTAATTTTTAAAATTAATTTGCATATTTAATAAAGGCTGTAAACATTAACTTAACGAGTTTATTGTTAAGATTACATACATTAATAAATAATTTGTGGTTAATTATTTAGTCAAATTACTTGTATTAATATACATATAATATGCTTATTTTACATTATAATGTTACTTATATTTAATTAATTAAATTTAGGACTATGACCAGCGCATGCAAATACTGCAGCAATCGCAAACGGCATATTTTATATGCATAGTGGTCTGCCAGTGGATGGACGTGATTTGCTCAAAAACGCGCAGGGTCTCTATATTTCGCCAGGGAATGGGGTGAGTAGTATAATTATTTTCTATTAGTTAAATAAGCTCAAACAAGTTACCACATTTTAATTTTATTTGGTTATAGCAATTGGGTACTCAATTTCAGCATATGTTTCGAGACGGCACTATGCGTATTTTTCATTTACACACCCAGGGTGAACAATGTTTTAACCCTGGTCCCACCGACACGTGAGTAGTTATATTATTTTTATAAAACACATACATGAAATTTTTTAATTTGTATTATTATTTGATTTATATGACCTAGCTTGGGTATGGCTGTGCGGTTTACCATTTTTTTTGTATTTGTTGTGCTATGAAGAGTTACGTAAATTCCTGATACGTCGGTATCCGGACTCCTGGCTGGGCAAAGAGCTGTTGATTTAACCATGTTCATTTTACTATTATAGTTCTAGTTATAGAATTATTTTATTGTTAATTTTATGGATTAAATGTTTTTATGTGCCTGTGTAAGATATTGATTTAAATGTTTTATTTATTAGTCATTTGGCATACCCTTGATAGTGAATTTGCTTATTGTTTTAATTAACATGTATTATTAATGCAATCATTGTCAAGGTACATTATAGTAATTAATATTTAATTTTTAAATGAGTTTGCAGTAATTTAAATTACACAGCAATTTTGGTCTTATTTTCAATTATTTACTAGCCATGTTTTATAAAGTTACACTGACAAATTTTATGATATACAGCTCACATATTTTGCTAATAATTTTTAAGAATTAATTGTCCAAGTTTTTAAAAATAATTTTTAATTTAAATATAGCAATTTAAATAACACAAATATAATTAATGTATATTTTATTGTTAAAATAAAAAATAATATTTATTTATAAGTGATTTAAGTCATTAATAAATATATTATTGTAAAACATTGTAATTTTTATATAATAATACACAATATACTAATCAAGTAAAACTATTTTTCTAATAAACAGTAAAACCATTTTAAAAACAGTTTTATACATTTTATTTTAACAATGTAAATCTAACATATTGCACACTATTCACATTAAAAAGTAAAATAAAAAACAATAATTATCATGTGTTTAGTTTTCAATGCTAAAAACAGATTAATTAAAATAACATAGATGCCCTAAATTTTATATATAAAATTTATATGAAATTACATTTACACTAATATTATATACAGGTATTAATAATTGCTATAATTAAGCAAAGTTATTGCAATAATAATAGCAAGATTATCATATGAGATTATTCTGAACATGATAACTTATGCATAGATTAACTCAAATATGTTAACAATAGTTAGTAATTATTTTCAATTCAATTTCATCTCAATGAAGTAACAAATATATTAAAAACATATAAATACAACAGCCAAGCATAATTACATAACAATAATCTAAACTTCAAACAACTTAATAAAATTAATAATGTTATCTTATACCATTTATTTAACTGGTTGTCTATTGCTTGCGCACACGGCTTATGGCGCTACAATTAAGCATGGTGAATTATTGGCCACATTGTTTGCCAATGCGGAGGGCCCTGTTCAGGATTTGTATCAAGATCGTTGCTTTAGACTGAGCACCGATGATATAGAGACGTGTATTTACCGTAAAGCACCCAATTGGGACAAAACTAGTCATAACCCGATATACCAGTGTTGTATTAAGTGGCTAACCATGGACTGTGCCCGTGAGCTTCCCATGGTAAATTTTTTAATAACTTTATTTTAATTCAATAAATTATAATATATAAAAATATAATTTATGTTTTCTATTTTATAACAGCCTTATTGTTCCAATTATGAGTATACGACCATGCTAGGTCTAATTGATCCAGCCATTACATTTTTAAATAATGGCGATTGCAAAGTAAATCAATACCATCCAAAACTTCCCACCTGTAATTTGCCACCTGGTGTTTCTGAACTAATTATCTAAAATAACTAATTGTTTATTATTATTTGTATAAGATAGCTATTTAAAAAATATTATTTCATAAATTAAATGCAATTAATTTAATGTCACAAATATTTAATTACTTAACAAATAAAATAAAATGTAATAAAGATACTATTTAAAATCAATTTTTTAAATTCGTTGAATACAATAAATCTATGTTATTGTTTTAAATTGTTAATTAGCCCTGTCCATATAGTTATAATACGTGATTTTAATTATAGATAATAAGTTACTATTATATAATAAAAATAAAATTAGTAGTAATAGGAGAGATTATTTCATATTATCAAAAATAGATTAATAAACTCGATATATTAAAAGTATTTAAATATTGCAAAACAGTTTCATCTCGATAAAGAAACAATAAATACTATAAAGCTATAAATACAAATAGGTTATACAACATTAAACTAATTAATTTACTAAATAAACTAATATGATGTATACCACAATATATATTGTTGTTTGTTTATTTGTCTCCAACATTGTACATGGTGTGACATTTAAAAAATCTACATTATCCGTCAATACAAATGACCCTGTTCAAGACTTATATAACGATGCTTGTTATATTACTAGCAAACAAGAAATAATAGACTGTATTTACCGTAAAGCCCCGGACTGGGACCCCACCAACTCTAACACTATATACAAGTGCTGTATTAATTGGCTAACCATGGACTGCGCTCGTGAACCACCTAAGGTAAAGTTTATTAATTTTTATAAATTAGTTTTATATCTCTGAAATGTTGATTTTTATCATGTTAATGTATACAATTAATGTTGTTTTAGTCCTATTGTTCGAATTTTGAATACCAAACTATGCTGAGTCGAGTTGATGCCGCCATTGCCGATTTAAATAACCACGATTGTAATGTGTATAAGTACTACCCGGAACTTCCCACGTGCCATAAACCACCTGGTCAAAATTAGTAATTTTATTATCTATAAGTTATTATAATTTAAATATTATATATTACTGCATAAAAATATAATAGTAATGTTGTATTTTATTAAGATTATTAATTATGTATTAATCAATATAAATATTCAATTTTTATTTTCATAATAAAATATATTTGCAATAATAACTTATAATGATTATTTTATAAATATTATCAATAACAAGTAATTTTTATTTGTTAAAATTAACTAACATATTAATAAAATCTTAAAATGTTAATTGAATTTGGTTCATTGCATTGAGGTCCATTAATGTTACAATAGTAATCTAACATGAACATAATATGTTTTTATTTTATAGTGTTACAGTATGTAAATTATAAATAGTTATAAAATTATATAATTTAAATTATAAAGTTTATAATTTCTAAAAATACAATAATTTTTACATGTATAAAATAATACAATAACATTTGCTTTCTGAGAACTTAGTAATAAAATATGATAAAAAACCTACATACAAAATCCTGTATATGTAATCTATAAATATATTATATACTTATACATTGTTACATAACCAAGTGCATATTTGGCAACTACATTTACATCTTAATAAAAGTTATTAAAATGATATAAATAAAAGTTTAATAAAATATAAATTAAGTTTTAATGTTTAATTAGAAAAATATAACTACAAAAAACACAATGACTTTTGAATCGGTGTTAATAACGGGCGCCAATCGTGGCATTGGTCTGGAATTAGTGCGACAACTGTTGGCCAACACCGGCACCGATGGCGGGCCCACACATGTGATCGCCACTACACGACAGGCCACTAATCCAGCGTTAGATGAGCTCCGGGACCGACACTCAAACCTACATGTCTTACAACTGGATGTCAGTTACCCTGAGTTTGCCAAACGTGTAGAAGCCCTGTTGGACGGGAGAGGGTTAGATATTCTGATCAATAACTCTGGTATAATGGATCGGACAAGTCTAGCTGAAGTGACCATGGAACAAATGATCGACAGCTATCACGTTAATGCCCTCGCACCATTTATGCTTATTAAAGTTTTGTTACCACTACTCAAAGTAAGCAGGTATAATCAGTCAATTAACAAATAGAACTAATACATCAACTTTATTAGGCTAGCTCATTAACACGTAAAACCATGGCCAACATACCGCCAAAATCACCTAGTCCCTATCCATATCGGTCTAGTAAATCGGCGTTCACCATGATCAGCCAATGTTTAGCTGCTGATTTAATCGATGACGATATTACTGTGCTCAACATCAACCCTGGTAACGTAAATACTTATGGTGGCGATCCGAGCGTTACTATTGATATTGAAACTAGTGGTCGCGCAATATTGAACGTGATTAAAAATTGCTCAATTAATATATCTGGTTCAACTGTTGATGCATTTTAAATATACAGAATAAATATCTGATAATAATAGATACATAATATTAATTTTGCCTTATTTTAAACGATTTTAGAATTTGTATTAATTTTTAATGTTTATAAAATTAATGTTTATATTTAACCATATTATTTTAATTCACAGTATATTTATTATACAAAAAGTTTAATAATTATACCGTACAAAAAATATATATAATTGTAAATTACAAAATAATAATATATCAAAGATGTTTAAATGTAGACATAGTTACATTATCAATGTCACTAGATAATTGATCAATTTAATGTACTGTGTATTACACAGTGTGCTAGCGTGCATATTCTGACCTTGATAGAAACAGTTTTAGTGCATTGTTTTTATACTGTATATAAATAAAAGAGTTTTGTGTGTATTATTAAAATAAAACATTTTTAAAATTACTTTGTCGTTAAGATTATTAATATAACATAATAGTTAATAATGGACTACAAGTCAGTGTTGATTACGGGCGCCAATCGTGGCATTGGTCTCGGATTAGTGACCGCACTGTTGGCCAAACCCAATGGCGGGCCCACACATGTGATCGCCACTACACGACAGGCCACTAATTCGGCGTTAGATGAGCTCCGGGACCGACACTCAAACCTACATGTCTTACAACTGGACGGTAAAAGTTATGAAACTTTTGCCGCGTTGGCCGTAAAAGTGGCCGCAATTGTGGGCGATATGGGGTTGGATTGCCTGATGAACAACGCGGGCATTGCTATCAAACAACATTTGGCCGACATTACAGCGCAGGGCATGATTGAAAACTTTGAGGTTAATTCAGTTTCACCATTGATGCTGACAAAAGCATTGTTACCTCTGCTCAAGGTAAAAATATATTACTTACGACTATTACGTGTGGTATATAAAAATTTATTAAGGATGGAAAATAAGGGTTCCATATGATTGTGCATGATAGAAAAATAGTTATATGAAAATTAAATATTTGATTTTATTACAGTTTTTAATTTTTTATAAATTTATCATTGTATTGCTCAATTTTTATGAAAACATTGGAATTATAAGGTGAAATAATAAAAGAATATTTTATGGTTAAATATATAGATATAAACTATAACGTATAATGCTTAATTTATTAAGCATGACATTAAAATGTTACACAGCCAAGTTAAATATAAAACATGTACATAAGTGAATTATTTAAGTATAGTAAAACTTTAAAGTTAAATATAATTACCGTATGAATTATGAATATCGATAACAATAAATAATTAACTATTGTATAATATTTAATAGATTTCAGCGGCCAAACAACGTAAAACAATCGTGATCAACGTATCATCAATGTTGGGCTCAATTGGTCTGATCGGTCAGTACCCGTTCAAAGCCTATTATCCGTACCAAACAAGTAAAGCTGCACTCAATATGATCACAAAATGCCTATCGGTCGACCTTAAAGCACATGGTATACAAGTGATTGGACTTCACCCTGGTCATGTCAAAACAGATATGGGTGGGCAGGAGGCACCATTAGATGTAACCCAAAGTGTTTCAGCCATATATAAAGCTATAGCTGGTATAACCGATGATAATACGGGCAAAACTCTTAGTTTTGATGGCAGTGTTGTACCGTTTTAATTAAGATTAATTATGCTCATTAAACAGGATCTTGATGAATTTATCAGTTTGTTTTAAATAAATTTAAAATATATTAAAATTATAATTTCGTTATTTTTATATTGGTATTTTTAGCTTGGTAATTATTAAACCATAAGCAATTATTATATTAATAACAATTAAACGCAACCAATATTAAATATTATATTAAATATTTATTAATACATAATTATGAAATTTTTATAATTTAATTTAATTATTTAAACTTTTAATGTTTTATAAAACGGTTTTCAAAATATTGTCGCTAAAAATAAAATAAAAAATACATTTATTGTTCAAAAATACAAATTAATTATGTTTATATTTAAAAACATTTGCATCCGTTTATTATTTGTTTAGATTATTGTTAATTTAATAAAATATTTTAAATGTAATCTTCGATGTATTAATTGCCAATTAGTTTATAGCAGAATTTCCTATGTAGGGATAAGTTTTCTTAATAAAATTTATACAGTTTTATAAATAAGGCTCTCTCTCTCTCTCT